GTATCTGGGTTCTTCTTCCTCCTCCTCTTCTTCTTCCTCCTCCTTCTTTCTCCTTTTCTTCCCCCTTCTCCCCACCCCCCCACCCCTTCTTCCTCTGTGTAGCTCTGGCTGTCCTGGAACTCCCTATATAGACCAGGTTGGCCTTGAACTCACAAGAGATCTGCCTGCCTCTGCCTCTGGAGTGCTGGGATTAAAAGTGTGCACGACCACAGCTCAGCTTGCATCTGACCTTTTTAAAGTGGGTTCTGGGCATGGAACATAAGCCATTTGCCTGAGACTTACTTATACTTTTTTAAAAATAAGGTCTTACAGTGTAACCCAGGCTGGTTGAACTTGTGATTCTCCTGCTTCTGCAGTCTGGCTGCTGGGATTACAAGTGTACACCACCAGGGCTGGTCAGATGGCTCAGCGGTTAAGAGCATTGACTGCTCTTACAAAGAGAGGTCCTAAGTTCAGTTCCCAGCAACCACATGGTGGCTCACAGCCATCTGTAATGGGATCTGATGCCTTCTTGTAGTGTGTCTAAAGATAGTGACAGTGTAATCACTTATATAAAATATATAAATCTTTTTTTTTTTTTTTTTGGTTTTTTCGGGACAGGGTTTCTCTGTGTAGCCCTGGCTGTCCTGGAACTCACTCTGTAGACCAGGCTGGCCTTGAACTCAGAAATCTGCCTGCCTCTGCCTCCCAAGTGCTGGGATTAAAGGCGTGTGGCCACCACTGCCCGGCATAAATAAATCTTAAAAAAAAAAAGTGTGTACCACCACTTCTTGTCCATATTGATTGACACCTCACTCTCTAGCTCCTCAGGTATAAAAACTGGTTTGCTCAATGTCTTTCTGTGCTGAATGCAGTCTTTTAATTCCAGATGTGGGGACAGCCTAGGCCCTTACTCTCTTGCAGGAAACCTCCCAGACTTCAGGACTTCCGATGTTTGGCTGTGCTAGGCCGGGGACACTTTGGGAAGGTAGGCAGTTGAGGATGGTGCAGTGGGGATAGTGGGTGGGCAAGCATCGTCTCAGTACATTAGCTGGAGATGCTGGGATGGGGGGGTTTACTGTGTAGAGAGGTGAAGGCTCTCTGTCCTTCTCATCTGGAGCCCAACTTTTTCTGGTCCCTAGGTCCTCATGGTCCAGTACAAAGGAACAGGAAAATACTACGCTATCAAGGCATTGAAGAAGCAGGAAGTGCTAGGCCGGGATGAGATTGACAGGTGTATATAAGTGAGAAGTGTCTGATCTCGGCCTGGGGTGGCCAGCCTGGGCTCCAGAAGGTAGCTCACGATCCCAAGGCTCAGGTTCTCTTTTCGGCACTGGGCAAGCCCTCTTGTCTTTGGGCACCTCGGGTAGCTCTTCTACAAACTGGACTGGTACTCTGGCAGCCTTCCCCGTGTGTGAACCAACAACTTGCCGCCTCAGCTGTTTGAACACTCATCCAGCCCGAGGTGTTGTATGGGTGTCAGGGCACAGTCCATGAGGTCCCATCCCATGTCCTCCCTTGCAGCCTGTACTGTGAGAAGCGGATCCTGGAGACTGTGGGTCGTGCAGGGCACCCCTTCCTGCTGTCTCTCCTTGCCTGCTTCCAGACCTCCAGCCACACCTGCTTTGTTACTGAGTTTCTGCCTGGAGGAGACCTCATGATGCAGATTCACGAGGATGTCTTTCCTGAGCCCCAGGCCTGGTGGGTACCAAGCAGACAGACAGCATGGGACTGTGAGGAGTCTTGGTGGAACATTATGACAGCATATGAAGACTTCATTTGCATAGCTGTGGATGGAATCTGTCATCACAATTTTGTAAGGTTGTTGCAGGGATGAGAGCCATGTTTGCTAATTGCCTGCCACAGGATGGGAGCAGTGTCTGCCTACCCAGCTCCAGTTGCTGCTCTGCTTATAACAGTGTGACTCAGTATATCGTCTCTCAACCTAGTGTGTGACCCTGAGTCAAATATCAGATCCCCATTCGACTGCATGTATGTGTGGCTGTGCATGGCCACCTGCAGTTGAGTGCAGGAGCCCTCAGCGGCCAGAAGAGGGTGCCAGATCTCCTGAAGCAGGAGTGGCCAGTTGTCAAAACTACCTGATAAGAGGAAATCCTGTCTAGACATGGATGAGGGCAGAGTACTACTTTCTCTTAAATGCTAGGCCATCTCTCCAACCTCTTAGATCCGGACTTGAGTCAAAGTCATGATGATTATCCCAAAGGCTGCTGGGAAGACGTCCATACTGAGCTTTGAACCTAGGGCTTAGTGTGTGCCAGGCTCTACCACTGAGCTACATTGCCAGCCCTTTATGTTTCCTTTTCTGTCTGTCTGTCTTATGTTTTTTGTTTGTTTGTTTGGTTTTTTGAGACAGGGTTTCTCTGTGTAGCCCTGGCTGTCCTGGAACTCACTCTGTAGACCAGGCTGGCCTTGAACTCTAGAACTCAGAAATCCGCCTGCCTCTGCCTCCCAAGTGCTGGGATTAAAGGCGTGTGCCACCACCGCCCAGCTTGTCTTATGTTTTGTTTTTTTTTGACACAGGGTTTTTCTGTGTGGCCCTGGCTTTTCTGGAACTTGCTCTATAGACCAGACTGGCCACGAACTCAGAGATCTCACTGCTTCTGCCTCCTGAGTGCAGGGATTAAAGGCGTGTGCTGCCACCACTACTTCCACCACCAGCACCAGGCTTTTCTTTGCTTTTTGAAAGAAGGTTCCACTATATAGAACAGTCTGGCCTCAAATTTGCTATCCTCCTGCCTCAGCTTCCCAAGTAGCTGGGATTACAGGCCAATGCTACCAGACCCAGCAGCTCTGCCTCAGCTGAGCGAGGAAGGACCAGTCATCAATATATAGCGACACTGGAGTACTTTGGGGTCTTCCAGTTCCGTCCACATTAGTTTTTCTCACCCATGCCTGAGACTGACCAGGACTTTCTGGTACCTCCCAGTGCCGGGCCTGAATTCTCTCTGTACCTCCCTCAGCTTCTACCTGGCCTGTGTGGTCCTGGGGCTGCAGTTTCTGCATGAGAAGAGGATCATTTACAGGTAGTCTTTGCCCAAGGAATGCTAGGGTTGCCGGGAGCTTTCCTCCTGCTTCTGTGCCCCAGGCCTGTCCTCCCCAGCCCCTTTGATCTTCACCACTCTGCCATCAGGGATCTGAAACTGGATAATCTACTACTGGATGCCCAGGGTTTCCTCAAGATTGCGGACTTTGGACTATGCAAGGAAGGTGGGCCCGTGCCCTGGAATCATACCCTCTTGTCTTCCCCAGGCCAGCCAGAAATCTCCCCACTCAGGGGTGTCTGGCCTTCATTCCTGACCCTTGTTTAGGGGAACAGCTGAGAATACCCTAGTTTGTAGTTGACCAGAGAAGCTCTGATGATCTTGGCACGGGAGTTCATCAGAAACAACTCTCATACAGTCACTGGCGCACAGTAACCTTGGCCTAGAGAGTCTAGGGGACACACAATAACCTTGTTATTGGGTATCATAAAGTCTAGCACCAACTGATAGGTATGTGTGTATGTATAGTATGTCACACACGCACATTTACTTATATGTATGTATATGTGTATTTCATTGCTGGCTTTTGACCCATGGTCTCACATATGTTAGGCAAGCGGTCTCTACCACCGAGTCACACCTCCATCTCTGGCCTTGATTTTTTTAAACTGTTTTTGTGTGTGTATGAGTATTTTGTAGCATGTATGTTTGTGCACCAGATGTATGTCTAGTTCCTGTGGAGGCCAGAAGCGGGCTTCAGAAACCTTGAAACTGGAGTTACAGCCATTTACCATGTGGGTGCTAGGAACCAAACCTGGGTCCTTTCTTAACCACTGAGCCCCCTCCCCCATTGATCTTATAACCAGAACTATAGTGAGTGAGCCACACCCAGACAGGCATTGGTGTGGATGTTGGTTTGCAGGAATTGGCTTTGGTGAGCGGACCAGCACTTTCTGTGGTACTCCAGAGTTCCTGGCCCCCGAGGTTTTGACTCAGGAGGCTTACACGCGCGCTGTGGACTGGTGGGGACTAGGTGTGCTGCTCTATGAGATGTTAGTGGGTGAGGTAAGTGCCAGGGTGGGGCTTCCAGGTCTCGAGGGTGGGGACAGTGGGGTAGCTTGCATAGCCTGCTGAACCCCAATCTCCACAGTGTCCATTCCCAGGGGACACAGAAGAGGAAGTGTTTGAGTGCATCGTCAATGCTGATGTCCCATATCCCCACTTTCTATCAGTGCAAGGGCTCGAGCTCATTCAGAAGGTGAGACCCAAGGTCTGGGATCTGGCTGGGCAGCTGCTTGTGACTTGCGTGTCCCCTGCCTCCACCTTGCAGCCCTGTAGCATAGCTTAAGTAGGGTAACTGTAGGGCAGCCAGCATCTGGAGTGGCATCCCTTCAAATTCACATCCTACCCTGCTTCCTGCCAGCTCCTCCAGAAGTCCCCCGAGAAGCGTCTAGGGGCAGGAGAACGGGATGCTGAGGAGATCAAGATTCAGCCATTCTTTAGGGTGAGTAGCCAGGACTCAGCAGTCCCCATTGCCTGGTGAGGTGGGGAGGCTGGGTGACCTCTGGGGTCCGCTGTTCCCACATTCTCATACTCTACCTTGTTTAGACCACCAACTGGCAGGCCTTGCTTGCCCGTACCGTCCAGCCCCCCTTCGTGCCTACCCTCTGTGGCCCCGCAGACCTTCGTTACTTCGAGGGAGAATTCACCAGCCTGCCTCCAACCCTGACCCCACCAATCCCCCAAAGTTCCCTCACCGCTCGTCAACAGGCTGCCTTCCGGGACTTTGACTTCGTGTCTGAGCAGTTCCTGGAGTCCTGAGGGTCTTCTGGTACCTCTGCCAGACTGTAGGAAGCCTCTACTTATCCTGGGCCAAAGTATTTCATGAGTGTGTGGGATTCCAGGTAGTAGCCATGGGGCTGCTGTTCTAGGCTTTCCTTGGTGTTGCTGCTGTGTCTATAATCCCTCTCCGTCTTCTGCTTCTTGGTAGACCCCAGAGCAGGAAAGACCCCAGAGCAGTATGGTTGGCTTCCCTTTTTAATACTTGACTTTACATAGAGAGTAAATTAATAAAACTGTACACTCGAGGCAGCCAGGCCGGGGCTGTGGTGGTGTCTAGGTTCTCTTTTGAACACACCTCCCCCAACTTATTTCCTTTCTTCTAAGTCTTCCTTTAGGGGTGGCAGGGGGGTTCTGTCTGCTTCTCTGCTGCAGGCTGGAAGCCCTAGGAAGGAGTACAGGTCTTTGGCTTCCTGGGCTGGCACAGCCTCCGGTTTTAGGCACAATAGCAGCCTTCTCTCCAGCAGCCCTAAACAACCTGGCTGCTGCCTTCGTCCTCGTCCTCAGCCAAGAGGGTCTCCCAGGGCCCAGAGGGGCAGCCGCAGAAAAAGTGGGCCAGGTTTCGAGTTGGACCTCGGTCAAAGGGGTTGCTGGTGCGCTGGCGGAGGTAGGCAATTCGGTGTGAGGATATGAACTCCCAGGTGGTAGTGTTCCTGGCTACCAGGTAGAGGTGAGAGGCCAGGAGCAGGCCAACCACTAACGAGAGGAAGGAAAGCAGCAGGAAGGTGGTGAGCAGGAGCCCTGTAGACCGGAGCCACAACCCCCAGGGCTGGAAGAACTGGAGACCAGACCTAGAGGACAGGGATGGAGAGTTAAAGCTGGGGAGTGCAGGGTCCCAGGGAGTCCTCCCCCCAAGAGTACCTGTGTGCATGCAGCCTGCACCCCCACCATGCACCTACCATGCTAGGCACAGGCCCCATAGCAGGACCACCAGCTGCAGTGCCAGGTAGGCCACAAAGAGCGGGTGATTGCGTTCACCCACACAGTTCTCCATCCAGGGACAGTGGTGATCATAGCGGCGAACACATCGGCGGCACTGACGACAGTGTCGGGCACGTAGGGGCTGCTGTGGGTACAGAGAGGGCAGTTCAGGCTCAGCGTCCCCCGCCCCGCCCCCCCACACACACACAGTGAGTCCTTTGGGGAGAGGGCTGAAGGCCATAGTCAGGTCCTAAATTTGGGAGGCATTCCTGGAGGGGAGGCAGGGTTCAGGTGCCAGGGCACCACTCCTCCCAAGAGTGCGTGTGTGGATCACCTACCAGCACCAGGCAGTATCTGCAGCGCTGGAGTGGGAGAGCCTGAGGAACCATTGCTGTCTCTTCCTCCTTGGGCTCCTCCTGAGAATGAGACAAAGGGTATGAGATCGGGGGCGGAGGATCTCCTTCCTTGGGAGGCAGATGACACTGGGGACATCTGTGTTAGGAGCCACTTGGTTCCAATGTGAAGGACTTGGGACCCATCCCATGTAGAAGGGACGAATGCACATAGCAGCATACTGGCCGCTTGGTGGCCTTTGCAAGACATTTGTCCTCACTTGGGTCTTGGTGCTATCATCAATGTAGGAGCAAAACCATACGGTGGGCAAGAGGCTTCATCAAGATGCCCCGGCTTAACATCGATACATTTCTGAGGTCTCTCTTCCCTGTTAGCCTGAGGAGGTGTTTGGATCTCATGGTCCCTGGTTACCTGAGGCTGGGGCTGAGTAGTCACATAGCCGGGGTCCATGAGTGACACAGCCAGATAAAGCAGCAGGGAGCTCAGCACCAGGAGCAGGAAAGTGAGGGGCAGGAACAGCTCCCCTTGCTCTTCCCATTGGCGTAGCTCTGGAGAAGCCAGAGGACAGTGAGGCTCAGGACAGTGAGCAAGAGAAGAGAGGAGCCATTGGACAAAGGGCAAAAGCAATGGGGGAGGGCTGCAGAGGTGGGCTCTGTTGCTTCTGGAAGGGAAGCCCAGGTGGGGGACTGCTGAAGGAAATGGCAAAGAAAGGAGATGCTACCAGAAGGTTGGAGACCTGTTCCCCGCTAGAGTGGCCTTTTGGGGGCAGTCATAGGAATTTGGCGAGTTGACCAGAAAGCCAAGTCCTTAAATCTTATCGATTTCCTAATCTCATTTAGAGAGAGGTTGGGAGACAATTTCTGGGAAGGATGGGGCCTCTAGTCTGTCCTCGGATTTGATGGGCTCTGGTGGTCTTTGGATGGATGGACGGACAGCTGTCGGTGACAGAAAATTACTGGGATTAATTAGGGACCAACTTGGGAATCAGGCAGGGAGAGGACAGCCCCTGGACCGACAAATGAGAAAGACGCTTGAGGAACTGGTGGGAGATGGAAATGGAGATCTCAACGTGTCTGAGGATTACGGGGACCCAGTGAGACCCACGCAAAAGGGGGACCACTCTTGATCGGGTGGGCTCGGGGTGGCGCGGTGTCTGGCTCACCGGTGTCGTGCAGGAAGAGCACCAGAGTGATTCCCCAGGTCAGCACGGTGTGCCCAGTCCGCACCAGCATCCCAGAGTTGAGCAGCGGCCAGAAAGCCATGGCCTTGGCCCCCGCCCGAGCCCACCCGGAAGAAGCGCGCGGAAGGTGGGGCCGCTGAGCAGCGGGGGCTGCGGAAGCGCGAGGATTGGTGGCTCTACATTAGGGGCGGGGCAGGGGCGGCTCAGGAAGGCTGTCTATTGGGTGCCACCAGCAGCCCCTCAGGCCAACAGGTGCCGGAGGAGGCTGAGGGCGGGGCCCGCGCGCGCACAGCCCAGAACTCCCTAACCCCGCCTCCTGTGGGCCAGGTAACTTTGCAAAACCCGGGAGGCGGAAGCCTCGGAAGCCATCCGCCCGCCCAACCCTAGCATGCGCATGCGTGCCTGCCTTTGATTCCCCGGAGGCCACGCTGTACTTGCTCCCAAGGGGCAATGGGCCGGGTTAGCACGAGGGTGCGCCTTTATGACACGCTTGCCTCTTATTCACCTCTTATTCGTTTTCTGATATTGCAAACGGATGATGGGAAAGAGGAGGGTTCTGGTGCGGAATCTGGACACACATGACCGGGCTTGGAGTCAGAGAAATAAACTGTACGTCCCACGACTTTCGAGGCTACTTTTAGGCTACTTTCTGCCCCTTCAATGGGGTTGGTGATAGTACCCACCTCTTAAGCAGGTATCTGTCTCCTCTGCTACCACCACCGCCCAGCCTGACTGACTTTATCTCTTTGTGTTCCTAGGACCTCCCTCATTCAGTTGATTCCCATCTGGTTACCCTCTTCCAGCCCCATCCCCAGTATTCATGCTCTTGGCGATTTGTTTTGGTCAAAATCTGTAGGGGAATTGACTTCGCAAGGCCAGCGTGGTTCTAGAAGGATTGGTTGTCCATCATGAGTGTGTGTGTGTGTGTGTGTGTGTGTAAGGGGGGGTGGAGTAGGTAGGGCCAATCAGGCTATTCCATGAGATTACTAAACAGAGGCTGGGGATTACTAGGTAGAGTGTTTGTCTAGCAAGCACTAAACATTGGGTTAGGTCCCCAGCATGGTATATACGGTATGGTTGCATGCCCGTGATCTCAATGAGCTGGAGCTAGAGACAAGAAAATTCAAGGCCATCCTTGATACATGTGGAGGGAGAAGACTCAAAGCCAACTGTATGACATAAAAGCTTGTCCCAAAAAAAGAGGTTGGGCTGCCAACATCTTTAATCCCATCCTTTGGGATGCAGAGACAGGCAGATGGCCCGCCTGGTTCATGTAATGAGTTCTAGGTCAGCTAAGCTCTGTCCATGGAAAAATAAAAAGATCAAAACACACAGCAAAACACATATACACCCTGTTTGTGAGTCAGGGAGTGTGTATGTGTGTGTATGTTTGTGTGTGCACGCACACGTGTGTGTGTGTGTACGCGTGCACGCGCAATGTGATAGCTCACAGAAATGAGAGGATAACCCTAGCTGTTGGTTCTCTCCTGCCATGTGGGTTGCAGGGACAGAAATCAGGTCATCATGCTTAGAGGCTGATTGTTATTTGCGTGTGTGAATGTTTTGCTTGAATGTATGTCTGTGCACAGTGCCTAGTGTCTGCAAAGGTTATAAGAGAGTATCGGGTCCTCTGGAGTTACAGATGGTTCCATGTGAATGCTGGAAACTGAACTGAGGTCCCTTGCAGGAGCCACAAGTACAATGGGGCATGGTGGTGCACACCTTTAATCCCTGCACTCAAAGGCAGAGGTAGCCTAGTCTACATAGCTTCAGGTCAGCCAGAGCTGCATAGAGAGAAAGGCCTTATTTTGGGGCAGGACAGCTGGCTGGTGAGGCAGAGGCAGGTAGGTGGATCTTTGGAGTTTGAGGCAAGTGTAGTCTACAGAACAAGTTTCAAGACAGCAGTGATACACAGAGAACCTCATTGGGAGTGTGTGTGTGTCTTGGGGTGCAGGGGGTACAACAAATGCTCTTAACCAGCAGGGCATCTCCCCACCTAGTAGGATTTTTGTTTTGCTTTTTTAAATTTAAAAAGTCACCTGGTTGCCGGGGCAGTGGTGGCGCACGCCTTTAATCCCAGCACTTGGGAGGCAGAGGCAGGCAGATTTCTGAGTTCGAGAGTTCGAGGCCAGCCTGTTCTACAGAGTGAGTTCTGGACAGCCAGGGCTATACAGAGAAACCCTGTCTCGAAAAACAAAAACAAAGCAACAACAACTCCCCCCGCTAAAAAAAAACAACAAAAAATCCAAAACAAAACAAAAAAGAAGCCCCCATCTCAATAAAAGCAAAACAAAACAAAACAAAACAAAAAAACAAAAATCAGTGTATTTCTTTGTGGTTTTTTGGGTGTGTGGGCAGGAGACCGGTCTCTTCTCTCCCTAGAAGGGTCCTAGTCAGTCTTAGTGGCGGGGCTCTTATGGCTAGGCCATGTGTGTGTCTCAGCCAGTAAGATCCTGGGTGGGTGTCAGGAGTGGCGGCCCAGTGGTTTATGCTTGCAGCTCTTCCAGAGAAGTTTGGGTCTCAGCACTCATGCCACATAGTTGTGAGCTACTGCCCTCTTCTGGCCACCTTGGGCACTGCACACAAGTAGCATACACTCACAAAAAATAACTAAAATGAATTTATAAAGAGCTCTGGATACCCAGGATTCTGTGCTGTGTACTGACCCTTAGCACAGCCTGATGTGCTGTTCACAATCCCATGGAGTGGCAGGTGCCATAGCCTCAGCATCAAGAAGTAGCCAGGTAGTGGGATGGAGTGAGTAGGAAGCAGTGTTCTAGACACAGGGAAGAGCAGGCACCTGGGCTAGGAGCACACTGTGCACCTGGGAAGCCTGGACCCCCTCCTTTGCTATGGTAACTTGAGGTGAGAAGGCATGTCACCTCTTGAGTCCGGCTACCCATCTGTGGGCTGAGAATGAGGAGTATGTAAGGGAAAGCCCAACACTGCGTGTGCATAGACAGCCACTCCAGCGCCCTCCGACTTGGATGACCCACTTAAGTTCAAGGACAAACTACCACATGTAATGGATGCCCTTTCTGTCTAGGCCCTGTGGGCTGCCAGTGATAGAGGGCACTAGTGTGGGCTCTGCTGGGGGCAGAGGGGACCTCTGCTCTGTAAGGAAGGGTGCAGGCTCCCAGAACTCTTTAATCTGATCTGGGCACTCCTGCTCACACCCTCTGTGAGCTCTGGAGAGTACCTGACAGGTTTGGGAACAGCTGCTGAGCTCTGCGTCCATGGCACCTGCATGTCCATGTCCCTTTTGCCATTGCATCTCAATGGGAATCCCTGAGTGCTCACTGTGACAAGCCCTCTGTCCAAGATGCTATCCCTGGCTGGCTCCACCTTTCCTCGGGGTTCGGCTCAGTCTTTTGTAGAGCTGGTTCCCCTGCTGGCTTCCCCTCTTCCCCATCCATAGACAGCTATATGGTACTGTCTAGCACCCATCGACCTGAGCCATTTCACCATGCCAGCAGCAGCCAGAGGTGTCCTTCCCGTCTTTGCTGCAGAATGGTGAGTTTGTATTTACTGTGTCTCTCCCAGCAGGGGCCCTGCCTGCCTGGTGGACAGCCATGACCTCAGTGTCTAGGCACAGAGATGTGGAGAGACTGTCACACATACTCACTTGAGTCTGCCACCTGTCTCCAGCCTGCAGGCACATAAAACCTACAGTAAAACTACCCACACTATAGGAGAACCCTAGCTTCTTTCCTGACCTCTGACTGTGCACCTAGCCCAGAATCCCCCAGTCTCCACCGGAAAGAAAAGACACCACTCTTCTGCACTTTGCACAAAATGTATTTCTGTGACATCCTGAAGTACAGACATTCCCCCAGACCCAGGTAGTGAAGCAGTGAGCAGAGCGCCCTGCTCAGGGCCTGGCAGTGCCACAGGGCATGGGATGAGCAGGACGGGCTGAGCTTGTCCAAGTGCTGCATGGGGGAAGCAACCTGCCAGGGAGAGTGTCCTCTGGAAAGGTCAGTCGCCTCTCCCTGAGTTCTGGGAACAGCTGGGCCCCTCTGACTGTAGGCAGACAAGCCCAGAAAACAAACAGGCACACAGAAGAGAGAGCAGAAAAAGGCACCCCAGAGGCTGCCCCCAGGGTCAGCTTTGCTCCCTAAGCCTGCTTGTGTGCACAGGTCTCCTCAGTAGCTCTATCACTGAAAAGCAATGGAGAGATAGAATGACGGGGTGCACGAGATAACCAGAGAGCTTCTGTTACTGTGCCTGTCACACAGCACAGCAGCTTCTCAGGGACAGCCTGACTGGGCTGGAGGGACAGAGGACTGTCCAAGTGCTGGTCTGGAGGTGGTTTCCTGCTGTCACTGTGGGGCTGGAGTGGGGACCTCCTGTCTTGGAGGGAGCTGTAGTATCTTCTGGACAGCGGGTGGGCTCAGCTCTGCTGCTGGTGGGAGTGCCTGGGCATGGGGGCACTGCGGGCAGATGAGGGGTACAGAACAAGGAAAGACCCTGGTCCCGGGAGGTGCCAGCTGCCAGAGCTGAGGCGGTTTGGGGCATGTTTGGCAGAAGGAGCAGTGGAATTGCCCCTGAGTTCTGACCATCTCTGGGCTGGAGCCTGGGGCCTGAGGGAGACTTGAGGCAGCCTCCATAGCAGCATGGCCACAGACAGGCCTGGGCAGAGAGCAGTGGGCCAATAGAGCCCTGCTTTTCCAGAGTCCTCTGGACAGGAGCCGACTGGTCTAAGGCCTGGGAACAGCTTACTCTTTTGGCCCCAGATGGTTTACAGCCTGGAGCACCAAGGCTTCTGGGATACCCAGTAGGGCTGGACTTAATTCCAAACCTCAGCAGCCTCACTCACCTGGGAATCTGGACAGGGCACTCAGGCAGGGGTCAGGGATGTTGAGCAGCCTGCTAAGGGCCAGCTCCTCCCACAACAGACAGAAGCCAGGCCAGGGTCTGAGCTCACTGGGAAGGGACCAGGCGCTCACAGCATTGGAGGCAAGCCTGGCTGGGGCACGAGGGGACATGGCAGCCACGGAAGCTTGAAGGCGGACCGAGAGTGGCAAGGAGCTGCAAAGACTCGGGAGAAGTCATACACACAAAACTTCACACTTCCTAACCAAAAAAAAAAAAATATATATATATATATATATATATAACATAT